CCCAAAGAAGTTCTTAGAGATGCTCATGGTAGCCCAGTCCACTGTCCAGAGCACCTGTGCAGGCCTCTCTCTCCCCCAGTGGACCCTCAGGAGAGGGACACTGGTGGTCTGAGAGGGACGCTGGTGGTCTGAGCACAGTCCCTCCAAATGCAGCTGGTTGAGGTGTAGGCTGACCCTCACCACCGGCCCCTCCACGTCTCACTCCCCTGCTTGCCCCAAGACCCCTGCACCCCCCTTCCTGCCCTCCCTGTGGCCTGTGGGGGTCGTGCTGTCTTGTCTGTGCCCTCTGTGCCCTCGTGTTAGGAGGGGGTGTGGAGACTCCTCAGCAGCCTGGCTCCTGCTGTGCTCTCCCACAGAGTGCTGCTGTTGGGTCTGCTGGGATCCCACTCTCTGGCCACAAATGCCCAAAGCTGAGTCTGTCGCACCGAGGTCGCCAGCTCCTGTCTGGCGTTTCTTCTGGGGTCAGCTGTGATGGTTCACAGCAAGGACAGCCCGTCCGGTTCAGCCAAGGCCCCCTCTCTCCACAGTTTCAAGGCTCTCTGTTCTTTCTGAAAGGTGCAGCTCACCTCACACGATTCCCCACGTCCCAGCCCCGTGCGTCTTCCCGCCCCTTTGGTTTCACAGCCTCCACCCTGTTCGCCTGCCCAGTGTCCGGTTGTGACCTGGAGCAGAGACCGACCACCTTCCTCAGAAGCCACGTCCTCCCAGAGGCTCAACTGCACACTGGATCTGCCGGGCATCGTTCCCTCAGCAGAAGGTGCATTTGCTCTCCCCCTTTCCAAATCCTCCCAGGCTTTTTTTCCTTCTTCCTAAATATTGGGAGGAAAATTCCCAGGACCTCAGCGGCAGAACATTAGCAGGCCCAGCGCTGTGTGGCCATCTGGCGCTGGTTCCCAGCATTCCAACAGCAGTGTGAACCCAGTTCACCAGCCATCACCAGCACATCCCTCCTACCCCACCTGGAGACCAACAGTCTGTGTTCTGTCCCTATGGATGGAAAGTTGCAGACACTTCCTATGTCAGGGACCTACTATGTGCCCTTCTGTCTTGGCATTGTGTGTCCATCCATGTTCACACATGTGTATGAACACTGCTCCTCTGTGGAGATCAACCACAGTTTGTGTACTGATTTGTTTCCTGGTTGTCACTGGGGCTGTTTCTGAAACCCAGGGAATCCTCAATAAACTGTATTTTAATTGGCTGTTCCTGGTTTTGCTTGATCTTAAATGTCAGCCAGTTTGGAGGTCACCTGCTCAGGAATACCTCACTGGTCTGTAGGTGGCACTGTTGCTGGGGAGAGTGGATGGCAGGATCCAGCAGCCAGTGACCACAGAGTGGAGCCAAGCCAGGCAACATGAGGCAGACAGGCAGGACTTCTTATTGGCCGGTCACTGTGAGCTGACCAAATTCAGCTTCAGGTGAGGGCATCACCCATTGATGGAGGGTGGGGCAGCAGAATGGACTGTTTTTTCTGTGTGGGCTGAACTATGGTCATTGTTGTCCATAGTCAGGATTTAAAAAAACTTTCCTGGGGCTAGAGAGATAGTGCACCAGTTAAGAACACTGGCTGTTCTTGCAGAAGACCTAGGTTCAATTCCCAGCACCCACATGGTGGCTCACAACCATCCTAACTCCAGTTCTAGAGGATCTGACGCTCTCTTCTGACCTCTGCAGACATTGTACTATATAGGTGTACTTACATAGTTGTAGACAATATACTCACACATGTAAAATAAAAAATAGTAAATAAAATATTTTAAAGACTTTCCTTTCTCCGTACAAGCATTCTGGCCCTGAGATTTTCAGGCTAATGGTTCATGGTCACCAGGTACTGCTGAGCCCCTGGTTGTCTTATGTTAATGTCCTGGCCTTGCTGTTTTCTGGTAGTTATGATAAGACTGATGGTCTAAAATAGCTTGAGCTGGTGATGAAGCACAGGGCAGGAGAGAAGAAACACGTAAGCACTAGCGACACAGGCCAAGTTTGCCCTGTTTTACTGTCCTGTAGAAAATATTTAACGTATTTTAAAATCCGGAACTGGTGGTACAGGCCTTCAGCCCCAGTTACTCTGGAGGCTGAGATTGGAGCGTCACTAGTTCAAAGCTTGTCTGGACTATGGAGGGAGTTGAAGACCAGTCTGGGAAAAATTCAGTGAGAACCTCTCTCAAAGTAAAGTGAAAGGGGCCGGGAACGCGGCTCAGTGGGCAGCACCTGCCTGGAGACCTCGGGGACCTACCTTCAATCTCCAGAATGTGAAAACTAACAGAAAGAAGAATGGTTTAAAGAATCAATTATTTTTAGCTCCTTTGCTATGGGGAAGTGAGAGTCCCAACCCTATCTGAGAAATTATTGGCAACTGATGGTTCCTGGGAAGGGATGTGTCCATCTCATTTCAGGGTATGATTCTCGGTAGACTGACCAGGCTACAGTGGATGGGCCCACACCGAAGGGCATTATTAGAGTTTTTTTAAACTCTAATATGCTTAGAGTTTAAAAAAAATTTAGAAAATTTTTATTATATATATATAGGAATGTATTAACTGCATGTAGGTAAGTACACTCGTGTTGTGCCAGGCCTGCAGAGTCAGAAGAGGGTGTCAGATCCCCTGGAGTTACAGATGGTTGTTAGCCACCATGTGGGTGCTGGGTCTCAAAGGAGCCAACCGTCCCGTGACCTTGAAACAAAATTATCTTAATACAAGCAGAAATCAGCAGAGGTGAAAGATAGCCGGAACTCGGCATGTGCTCCCCTGTGGTTTGAACGTAGGAGCTGCTTCAAAAAGTTTAACCTGCCACACTGAGGGCGACCCAGGGCTCCTCTAGGTATGCCCCTCTGGGTTCCTGGAGCTGTGTGGGGGTCAGGCTTCACTGCTGCATGAAAGAACCATCTCCTAGTGGGACCAGAGGAGCCTTTGGCTTGACTGTTCTCTGGCCATGACAGGTGGACTGACAGGGGCCTTTCCATTGCCAGTGGTTTCTGTGTTACAAAGGGCGCATCTGTTGGTTCCGAAAGGCTGGCTCTGGTGACTCCCAGACTTCTGCGACAGATTTTTCTTATGCCTCCCTCACAGGATTAGACAGATACTGTCCCCTAAGCACTTGTTCATACCAGTCAGTTGGTCAGCTTCTCTGTCCTCTCTTTGCTAAGTATCTTTTAATTGATTGATTGATTGATTGATTGATTGATTGATTGATTGATTTGCCTGCATGTGTGCCTGGGTCATGCAATGCCCAGAGAGGCCAGAAGAAGGCGCAAGATCCCCTGGAACTAGGGTTACTGATAATTGTTAGCTTCCATGGGGGGTGGTGGGAACCCCACCTAGGTCCTCTGCAAGAGCAGTCAATGCTCCTAACCACTGAGTCATCTCTCCAGCCCCATGTACTCTTTTAAAAAAAAATTATTTTTTATTTTTATGTGTATGAGTGTATTGCCTACATATGTGTAAGTGCACCCGAGGAATGCTAGCAGAGGTCAGAAGACAGTGTTGGATTTCCCTGGAACTGGAGTTATAGATGGTTGTTAACCGTCATGTGGGTTCTGGGAATCAAACCTGGGTCCTCTGCAAGAGCAGTCAGTGCTTAACTGCTGAGCCACCTCTCCAGGCCACATCTGTACTAGTTTTGTTTCTTTGTTCTTATGCCAGGAAACTGTACACTCAGGAGAGGTTTGGGACCTGGGCATAGACCAGCAGCACAGGGGAGTGCTTCAAGACAACTAGGGCTGGCGCTGGCTTCTCGGGCTGGGCAGGCACTTCTTCATCCTGGCCCTGGATTCAGGGGCATTTCCTCCTCTGACAGTGATCTCTCTTGGGACAAAGCTTCCTCATGTTCAGTCAAAGGACAGTCAAAATGGCTAATTACAATAATTAACGCAGTCCATCTAGGACCATAGATGAAGCAATACCTCACAGGGTGCACACTGTGGGGTCTTTGTGCAGTGAGCCTGCTTCTGCCTCCTGGGCCACTCGGTGCAGAATAAATGTGCTGCAGGGAGGCCAGGCGGACAGAGCGGACATGGAGCTCACACAGCGGCTCCTGCTGATCACGGGGCTGGGCCTGCTGTCTGTGGCGAGAGCAGACCAATGGCCTCCGATGATTCCCGCCAGCTCTGAGGAGGTGACAGCTTGGGGAGGACCGAGGGTGGGACCTGGGGTTTCTGAGGTCTGGTCTGTGGGTAGAGGTAGTCTCAGGGAGCCAATGGGTGTCATGGGTGGATGACAGCGAGCCCGTCTTAATCCTCCTGGTGATGTCTGCTGAGAAGGCTAGGACACCAGGAAGTCCATAAGGGGCAACACTGTGTCTTCGTCCCTCCAGGGGGCACCCTCCAGGGGGGTACCCAGAGGCTGAGGGGTGACTGGGGGGCCTGGACGGATTGTCACTCAGCTAGTTGCTAGTTCCGGAGCACTTTCTGGTTATAATTCTTTTTTTTTTTTTTTTTTTTCCCAAGACATTGTCTCACTGTGTGGCTCTGGCTGACCTAGGACTCGCTAGGTAAACCAGGCTGGACTTGAACTTACAGAGATTTGCCAGTCTCTGCCTCCTGAGTACTGGATTAAAAGTGCATGCCACCATACATGGCCAGAATTTTCTTGTTTTAAAAGTTTGTTTTTTTGTCTTTTTGAGACAGGGTCTCCCTGTAGCCCCAGCTGGCCTGGAACTCACTATGTAGACCAGGCTGGCCTTGAACTCACAGAGATCTGCCTGCCTCTGCCTCCTGAGTGCTGGGATTAAAGGTGTGCGCCACCATGCCTGGCCTAAAAGATTTATTTTTAAATTTTATGTGTATGTGTGAGTTCCTGCACATATGTGTGTACCACGTGCCTGTGTCTGGTACCTGTGGCGGTCAGAAGAGGGTGCCACATCCCCTGAAATGAGTTATGGGTGGCTGTGAGATGCCAGATGCAGATATTTGGGAATAGAGCCCCGGTCTTCTGCAAGAGCATCAAGTGCTCTAACTGCTGAGCCATCTCTCCAGCCCCATTTAGAATTTTCATTTCACAATTAAAGGCTCATGCAAGATGACCTCCAGAAATCCATGTACTGTCCAAGAATTAAAAAACTTTTTTTGATTTATTTACTTTTATTTCATGTGTATGAGTGTTGTGCCTGCTTGTACGTAAGCGCACCTGTGTCATACAATACCCATGGAGGACAGAAGAGGGCATTGGATCCCCTGGAACTGGAGTTATGAACGGTTGTTAGCTTCCATGTGGGTGCTGGGATTCGAACCTGGGTCTTCTGCAAGAGCAGCCAGTGCTCTTAATGGCTGAGCCATCTCTCCATCCCCAAGGATCTTTTTTAACTTTACAAATTTATTATGTTTGTTGAAGCAAGATTAAGATCCTGGAGATGATAAGCCATCACCCAAGGCTCTGTCAGTGATGAATGAAGGTGCCTGCTTGCAGCTTCCCTGACACTTAATGCCTTTGTCCCACAAGTTAAGCTGACCTGCCCCACATAGATCTCAGGGTCAGGGCTAGTGTCCAGGTACCTTGGGTCCCTTTGGCAGAATGTCCTGGGCTTATCCTGACTCCAGGGCCCCCACAGTGACTGCTAGTACCCATTTCATTTTCAGGAAGCTGGTCAATTGTTAGTCATGCTCTTTGCCTCCTTGTCCTGGGGACCCCAGCTCCTCTCTACCCTTTGTACCCCAAACTCCTGTTGGATCTTCCCTTTCGCCCTCACAGAGGAACAGAGTTCAGTCATGCCAGGCCTCACTCACCATCCTGAGACTCTGGGATACAAAGGAAGTCAAGTGTATGCAGATCCCAGGAAACAGGAAGATGGTGGGAGCCAGTTTGGAGGCTGGCATAGTGGAGCATACATTCAAGATCCCTGTGTCTGTCCTGAGCCTGTGGGGACAGGGAAAGCACTAACAGCTGTCTGGTTTCGGAATAATGTTCATAAGTCCAGTCCATAGACTTTCAGGGGAAGGAGACAAGGACTAGGCCCTGGGGCTGGCTATACCCTAAAGGGAGACTGTGCAGGTGGTGGGCCCCAGATTTGTCCGGACACTGTACACCGTCACTGTGACTTGTCACCTACTCAGCTCTGTCGGCTCTGGCCCCTGTCCTGTCCTGTCTCATCTCCCTTCTTGTAAAGGTCAATATAGTCTTTCAGGTGTGTTTTCTTGACATCCTCTGGACAGCTGTGCAGGAACCTTGGTCAGTGTCCTCCCAGGAGGTGGGTCGCCCAGGAGGCCCCTGTGCTGGCCACTCTGGCTTTTCCTGCTGATGATGGAGACGGACCAATCTTGACCGGGACTCTGCCTGACCCTCCAGTGTCTCAGGCCCCTCCAGTCTGTACTGAGACTCTACCCAAGCCCCCTCCGGTCTCTGCTCCCACTTCAGTTCCAGCCTGGAATTCCTTTCCCTGCCTCCCCTTGTCCCTGCAGCCTGGCTCAGTGATGGTTTCCCTTTCTAGCTTTTGGAAAAGTGGTATATAATTTCCTGGGCAGGAAACATGCCTATTCCTGTAATAAAGAAGACCAGCCCCCGCCTCCTTTCACATTCATCAGAAACAATCTCAGGTAGTTGGAGTTCAGGATGACCGTGAGGTGAGTACCCTGTTCACACATTGCCCATTACATCCTGGCTGGGTGTCTTCCAGACCCAACTCCTGCCTCCCACAGGGTTGGTCTCTGAACTCAACCTGGCACTACCACGGAGTATTGCAACATCTTACTTTCCTGTGGTAATATGCCAGGCAACCTGTGGAATCACACAAAGGACACACAGGGACACAGTGCTGAGCATGGGAAGCCCATGGTTCCCACTGACCATATAGCTTTGTGGCTTTAGACACTCAGTGCAGGACTTGGAAATGGCACGGGTGGGCCGTATGCCAGGCTGTCCTGAACTTGAACCTTGGACTGTTAAGAACTTTGCACAACCCTGGCCTCTCTACCGCTGGTCCCGGCAGAAGCACCTAGGAGAGGGACACAGGATTCCGGCAAGTCGTGTACTGGGGCCGTGGCCTCATCCACTGGCCTAGCATGTCAGCCTCTGAGTGGCTGAAGAGTACTCAGCCTGGGCGGTGTAGGGAGTCTTGCTCAGGCCTTTGTTCCTGCTGGGTGCCACATACTGACCAACCACAGCTGCCATAAGGCTCTAACATGCTTGTAGTAAGACACTCAGATACATTGTAGGCAAATTCAGGGGGACCTGGGTTTTGAGGGTCAGTTTCCTTGGAGACTGCTGCTACAGGGTTGAAGAGCCTGGGGTGGCCTCTGAGTGACATGCCTGAGGAGGCCCTGTAGTGGGAGCAGGGAAGGAAGAGTCAGGTGTCCATGGGAGAACCAGGTTTTCATCCCGTGTTCCAGAAAACCCTTTGGACGTGCTGAGTTCAAGATGTCCCTGGATGAATTAGAGGTTGATGGCATCTTCCATGCCTGTAAGTGGCCAGATTCACATTCTATCTTCCACAGAGCCTGCAGAAACAGACCTGACGGTTATGTGGCTCATGTGACTCACAGGGAAACATCATTATATCTCCATCCATTTCCTGGCTGGGAAGGATCATGCCATCACATACTGTGAGAAAAAGACTTTCAGAGCCTTCTATAAGATGCTGCTGCTCATGGGTACGTCCCGTCCTTTCTGAGTATGATGGGGTGGGTGGGCATGGACTCCTGGGGTACCAGGTATGGACTAGATGCTCTGCCTTCCTGCCAAGCTCCTACCAGGGTGGCTCTGTGCGAACTGGTCCTGCCATTCCTGGGCTCAATGGAAGAGGAATTTGTAAGCTCTTGGGGCCAAGGTGTGACATGAATCATAGGTGAATGTGATGTTGCGGAGTTTGAAACCACTGGGAAAAAGACCACCAGACTCAATTCAAATTCTAATTGGTCAAATTTATTAGTGCTATAGCCGTCCATGGTCCCTTAGATTTAGGACCCATTGGGAGGGTGAGACTAACTTATAAAGGCAAAACCTACAAATACCACAGGGATGTCATCACGCATGAGTAATGCCAGGTGGTCCTGAGTAGGTCAGGACGCCCAAGTCAGCAGGTAAGCAAACTGCAGAAGCCAGAACAAGCTGTGTTAGTTCTTCTCGTAACGAGGTATGGAGACCTCGGTAGAAAGGCACTTTCTGATTAAGTGCAGCTGCCGTGTCTGGGAACCCCAAGGTCAGCTACTCCAAAGAAAGCACACTTCTAAGGGGAGGCAACTAGGTTCAGGCGCTTAACCTAGGAGCTGGCTGTTTTTCTAGCCTTTGAAGTTTAAAGTGGCTGCTTTATACAAAATGAAGTTACTTTGCTGTTACAGTTTGGGGGCTCCATTTGGGACCATTACAGTGGAGCTCAGTCACTGAGAATGTCAACAAGAGAGCTGGAGGGAGAGAGGCCAAGCGCTTACACACCCTTCTATTCAGATCCACAAGTTCCACGCATGGCCGCCCGGGTGGGAACTAGAGGGCGCTGGGCAGAAAGGCTGAGCTTCCCGTCCTTGCCAAGTACCACATCGAGATTCAGGGTACCTCAGTGGGATTTGATGGTGATATGGTTACAGAGATTACGGGAGGTGGGGGGTGGGGAAAGAGAACAGGGGACCCTGCCTCTACAAGATGAGCGTTTTTGGGTGGCAGGACATGGCTTTTGGGGGCCAGATAGGGAATGGGCACTATTTAGGAAGGGCTGGTGGGCACACTGGAGGGAGGGTCACTTACGGGAGGATCTCTGTCTTTCTACCTCAGTCTCCCCACCACGGCCAAACTCAGAACTGGCCCTTAGCACACAGACAGGCAGGATGGAATGGGGTGACCCTGAGTCCGGGCCGTGCCTGTGCATGTGAGGCTGTCTCCATCTTCTGTCGTCCAGGGATGGGTGGGAACCTTTCCTGTGGAGCTTTAGGTGAGGAACACACCCAGGGCAGTCAGACTTGGGACCTTCATCTGCTCATGTAACTAGGGTTCCAACAGAGAAATAAACACATGAACTTCTGAGAAGGCCCCCTGCCTGACCCTTCAGGAGGTTTTGGGCTAGGTCAGCCCCATCCCTGGCTTGAATCCTCTCGGGGCCAGGAGACCCCTGAGGGATCTGTGGGAGACCTGTGTGTAGGGAGAAGCTCACCCAGCACCCTCTTCCATCTCCATCGTACTGGGGACCCTGCATCACACAGCCCCCCCTCCCTATGTGGACTGCAGGTCGCACCCCAGATAAGAACCCAGGGCCTGAGGCTTATTTTGAAGAGCTTGTGGTAAGGAGAGGACTAAGAAGAAGCTCTGTCATCTACTCTCCCCAAGATGGTAATGAAAAAGATTTGTCCTTAGTCCCATTCCCTTTCCCCGGGAGTTCCCTATAATATGGTACCTACATGAGCCCCTCCCATCCCTTGTCTCTTTCTGGATCTGCAGATGCCTGCGAGTTGACCAGACACTCCTAGTGTACAAAGGAAACACAGCAGAGGGCGCCCTGGCCAAACTGTACCCCAAAGCCAAGTCTTACCGCATGCCACACCTGTACCTCTCCATGCGTCTGCTTTCGATAAAGGTGGCCAATGTCTGAGCCACATGGAATCTAATAGGTCCAGACTTTGTGTTAATGAGGTATGGGCAGATGCTTGAAACATGACCTTGGTGATCAGGAGGGCAATAGTATCAATGTCCAGTGTCATGGATCACGGTGACTATGGGCAGTGACCACGCAGGCTCATGCGCCGTCTCCAAGCCCCAGTTCACTCTGTGTCCCCTTCCAGGTGACACCAAGTCATTAGTGAGAACCCACATAGACAGCTTGGCTGTGAGCCCACTGATCTACAAGGGGAAGCCAAAAGGTCCTGGCATGCATGACAGGATCCAATCCCATGCCTGGGCAACAGCTTGGGTGACTGCAGAGAGGACAAGAGAAATGGGGTATCAGAAGGGGAGAAGTCAGCACCCAGTGGGACAAGCCCCAGAGGGAGCAGCACTCCCTGGAGGGAAGTTCCGAGATCTCTCATCGGGGCAAGAGCACCGATATGGAATCTGGAAAAGAGCGTTTGGAAGGTGTTGAACCAGAGGAACTTGTCTTAGAAGTTTCAGCGTCGGGGCAGAGCAGTCACTTTGGACCGGTGCAGAGTCCTGGGAGGATTGAGGGTGGAACAGAAGCAGCGAGGTGACCAGGCTGAAAAATCCCCAGAGCCAGGGCAGAGCCAGGACCCCCACCAAGCTCTCCAAGTCCATCTCAGTTCAGTCACTGGCTCTGCACTCAGCCCTCCTTGTGTCGTGCTCAAAGTGGCTGCTCCAGGGATTCCTGTGACATTCCGAGCTTCACAGTCTACCTGGACCTGGGATCGACCCAAGGGGACGGCCAGGTACTCACAGCGACTTCAGTGGTTCCTGATGAACGGCCTCCCGTTGAAGTTTATTCCTTACTCTGTTAGTCAATTCCCAGTGAGTGTGGGAGGTTTCCAGCCCACCTGCATCAGGATGGCAAGCTTGCCTTTGCCTACATTCTGCCCTCTGGCCTGACCATGAGCAGCTGGGCCAACCCAGCAAATGTCTCCCCAGTTCCTAAATTCCAACCACAACTTCTTCCACTAGGCCAGCACCCAGCCTTGTGAAAGGAGTCCCACTCCTGAGTTATTTCTGCCCTAGCTGGTCTCCTGCAGCCCTTGAGCTAATCTTCACAGCTCCCTTTACATTGGTAATGGCTCATCACACTTGTTATGCCTGTTCTATCCATTGTGTGATTCTGACTCCTGACTGAGCACAGATACATAAAATTACACACTATCACAGAGTGATAAGTGCCATGAGGAAACAGCACATGGAACACAGTGGCAGTATGGGACAAGGAGGTGATTGTCCGAGTCAGGCACAGCGAGGCGATGTTTGAACACAGACTGATGACAGGGGGGAAATGAGGCGTGAAGTCAGGTGGAAGGAGATCCAGGAGCCAGGAGCCTTCAGGGAGGGCCCTGGGTGCCACAGTGGTGACCAGAGACTGTAGGACAAAACCCAGTGGGAAGTGCTCATGCAGGAATTGGGGGAAGGGGAACCTCAGGGGCATCAGACTGTTCTCTGCATGTGGGCAATGAGCAGGGAGGAAGATTGCCCCGTACAAAGAACTGGGGCGATGGTCGGTTTCTCCCACCTTTGAATCTGGGCTTCGTTACGCCTAGTCATGTGTCCCTGCTTTCTGTAGTTTTGGTGATCTGACCTCTGGGCCTCACAGTCCTGGGATGGTCAGGCCCTTCAAGGTTAGCTAATTCCTAGAGATAATAAAGGCCCCATCTGCAAGTCCCTGTGCTCATATGCAAGAAGTCTATATCTCCCCTTGATAGGATTCAGATCCAGGCGACCCCAGACCCAGAAACCATAAGGCCCCTGAGAGGAACTGAGTCAGCGAACCCCCAGCCACCTGCAAGCTGACAACAGCAGCTCTGGGAATTAGTGACCAATGCATTGTGATCACCAGAGCATGCGTCACAGGCTGACAAGCAGGTTTTCTGAAGCCCTTAGCTGCAGTGGGTTCCTGGAACCCTGTAATTATAGAAAACAAGTTTTACAGTAGATGTTTTCCTCAATAAGTTTCACCAGGTACAGACCCCACACCCTCCCGAGCAGCCTCAAAACAGCCCCAAACAGCAGAAAAATATTCTCTTTTTCTGCATTCTGTCCCTTTATAAGCCTAAACTCTGGCTTTGCCAGAGTCCTCTCTTTCTCTTTCGTGAGGATCCTGAACCCTGCCATCTTTTTTTTATCTAACACCCCTCTTCCCTGGCCTCACGCCTGAGCCAGGATCCATCACCAGGAGCCAGACCACCATGGTCAGCCCCTCTGCAGCCATTAGGCTGCTGGTTCTTCCTCACACCCGAGTTGAGGACCAGTCCTGCCAACCCACTAAACTCTGGCTTTGCCAGAGTCCTCTCTTTCTCTTTTGTGAGGATCCTGAACCCTGCCATCTTTTTTTATCTAACACCCCTCCTCCCCGGCCTCACGCCTGAGCCAGGATCCATCACCAGGAGCCAGACCACCATGGTCATCCCAAGAGCCAACCCTAAGCCTGCCTGTGACCCTTCTTGCCCTTTCTTCCCCTCAGTAACCATCATGCAGGCTCTGGGCTCCAGCCTCTCTCCACCTGTCCACTCGCTCAGCTGCTGTTCCCTGTGGTCCTCTGTGCCATGAACCATCAGCTATGTGGGACCCTGTCTGATGGTTGTGTGGCTTTTCCTGGGTAGATGTGAACAGAGTCTGCTCACTCCAGACAGGACACCAAAAACACACCAAAGAAATGATTCCACTCAAGTCTATCTGGGAGAGGTAGCGGGTTTCCCGGGGTCACTTACAGGGGCATGGGCGCAGCTGCATCCCCGAGAGGTCTGCCGGGCATGGCTAATGACTTATGAAGCTATGTCCCTGGAGCCTCCTGCACAACTTGTAGAGAGCTCCCACCAAATAGCCTCCTCTCCCCAGTAATGTTGACCATTTTTATAACGTTGGTAAGGAGCCTTGGGACTCTCGTGATTTTCTGAGCTTCTTGAACCTTGTAGGATTCGTTAGCTTCTAAAAATTAGGAGCTTCCCTCTTTCAGGAGGGAAGGGTTCAATTTGGAGACAATAACTGCTCACCCGTTATGTTCTGTGCGGTTTGAAGAAGGGTCTACAATAGCTGTACTTTTGATTTTGAATGAGTGAGTTTATTAAGCATATGGAAAGTCGAAGAAGTTGAGACAATTAGCTGGAGTTCATGATCGAACTTTCTTCCCAGGGCAACCGTCCCGTGGTGGAACTTAGGGTTTTTCCTGCCCACGGATATCATGGAGGAAATAATAACCTCTGTCGGAAAAGGTTTACTTTCCAGCTGTTCCCAAGATCGTGATGTTCTTACCCTTGGGCTGTTTTGTGGTTGTAGTCCCTCTCTGTCACAGGGTGGGGTTGCGGGGGTGGGGAGGCCATCCCCAGACAAGTAAGCCTGGAAGACACTTTCAGACAAGCATACTTGAGTCTACAATGGGAGGGAACAATCTCACCTCCAGAACCAGATTCTCCACGAGCTTAAACAACACATGACAATTTATCAATATAATATGCATTACAGACATTGATTATCAGGAAGAAAAATGTTTTCTTTACAGTCACAGGTCCCCACACAGGTAGCATACCACGGCACACGGGGTCGCTGGGCACAGCAGTAGGCAAGCTGGGCAGGTGGAGCCTGGGCGGTGATCGTGAGAGGAACAATGTAGAGAAGGGTCGCAGGGAGGCAGGTGCGGTGTGGGTTACTGCAGAGCTGGGGCTCTTCACATACCCCTCGTGGTCTGGCACCTGGTGATTCTTGGTGGTGCAGATGTGAAGCTGCCCTGATTAGTGGTTGTCAATTGACACAAGCTAGAATCATCTGGAAAGTGGGAACCTCAGCTGAGGAATTTCCTGCGGGAACTTCTACTAACGCAGAGAAACACATTAGGCCACGGAACAAAGCAGGCAGGGGGCTCTCTCTGTTCCACCATCTCCCAAAGGTGTCTACCATGGTTGACCCCAGGTGGTGGCGTCTATTGTCACTTTAAATTAATAGGTATCTAAGATCATGGCTGAAGAGCTTCATGACTTTAGCCCACTGAGACACAGGGAAAGACAGGTGTCTCCTATCACGCCCCAAACCGGTTCACAGCGGCAGACCCGGTCTAGCAGTCATCTGTGTGTGTTCTTCCCCATCAGTAAAAAATTATTCACTGTTGTTTAATTTTGTATGTGCAGCGTATTTCCTGTATGCACGTAAGTGCATCCATGTCATACAACGCCAACAGAGGTTGGAAGAAGGCATCGGATTCCCCTGGAACTGGAGTTACAGAGGGTTAGTTGCCATGTGGGTGCTGGGAATCAAACCTGGGTCCTCTGCAAGAGCAACCAATGCTCTTAACAGCTGAACCATCCTCCAGCGGACGGAATTACATACACCCTTGTCGTAAAGGCTTACCTCAGTGATCCACACACAGTGAAGTGTAAGGTATCTTGAGTGCAGTCAACAGGACAAAGAAAAGTCCTGGCACACCAGATACGGAGACTCCAACCGGCTCAGTAATCTTTGATTCTGAAGAGCACAGGTCCAAACCTCTCCACTGCAGGGACAGCAGGCTTCCCGCTCTGCAGTAACTTCCAGGACCAGATCTGCTGGGGTTTGCTCGAGAGCGTTCATTAATATTGTTTATGGTTACTTGGAGCTGTCCAGCCTTGGTCCAGGCAGGCACAAATATGCTATTGTGGGACCAGGACCTTTCTCAAGAGAGCTCAAGTTAGCTGGACCTCAGGACAGGACATGAGGCCCAGGATCTGCAGGATGGGGAAGGGCAGAGCAGAGTTCCTGCTGGAAAGAGCTGGGCTTTGGCCAGCGGAGAGGGCAGCCAAGGCAGCGCAGCCTTGGACTTTGGAGTCAGGCAGACTGCTGGCCTCCTTGTGCCTCTCTTGCCTGTTCCTAGTTCCAATGGAATGAGACTTGGGGTCACTTGGGGGGAGGCATGTTGGTGGTCACATGACAAGGTAGGGAACTTCTTTGGGAGGTCATGGGCTCTAATGTAATAATTAAAAATATATTTATCTATTTTTTAAAATTTTATTTATTTTTATTTTGTGTGTATGCGTGTATTGCCAGGATGTAGGTAAGTGCACCCATGTCATGCAATGACCTCGGAGGTCGGAAGAGGTGGTCAGATCCCCTGGGACTGGAGTTATAGACAGTTGTTAGCCCCCATGTGGGTGCTGTGATTCGAATCTGGGTCTTCTGCATGAACAACCAGTGTTCTTAACAGCTGAGCCATCTCTCCAGCCCCTATTTATCTGTTTTTAATGTGTTTGAATGTTTTGCCTGCATGTATATAAGTGCACCTATGTCATGCACTGCCCATGGAGGCCAGAAGAGGGTGTCAGATCTCCTTGAACTGGAGTTGTTAGACACCATGTGGGTGCTTGGAATGAAATCTGGATCCTCTGCAAGAACAGCCAGTGCACTTAACCACCAAGCCATCTCTCTAGTCCTCTAATGTAATAATTTTAAGGTAGTTACACAACTCTGGATTGGCAACAGGCTGCAATGGACCCCCTGAATCTCACTCCAAGTCGGAAGGGATAGAAAGAGCCTCAGTTGTGCCTGGGTGGCCACGGACTCCACATGGCCCCTCGACAGGTCCTGAGGTGGCCAACAGAGCAGGAGACCCTGGTGCCCTTGTCGAAGATGAATCCTCTGAGCTCACAGAGGTGAAATCTCCAAGTTCTCCCTTTAATGGACCCATATTGGCGACCCCTGACACGTGGCTAGAGCTTTACCAGCTTCCAGGACAGAATTGTGAAGGACGGGAGTCAAGCCCCTGCTCTCCAGATAACCGAGGAGATGGGTGACAGATACAGGGAAGAAGGAGGGAGCGGGTCACCTGAGAGTGAGCAGTTCCATGAGGGGCACAGCTGGCTTCCGGTGCAGAATGAGGCTGTTCAGGAGGTGACAGTGATCTCTAGTGTGGCTACAGGTCTCTCAGAAGAGGTGATATTTAGGGAGATCTGTGCCATGAAATAGATCCAGACATAGCAAAAGTTTCCCTACCCACATCTAGGATGGAGCATCCCAGGCAGGGGGGCAATGAGGTGGTTCCTGGGGCCGAGCTTGGGCTCTGGGAACTGGTAGAAGTGTTTGAGGTTATTAAGAAGCTCAGTTCCTTTCTGAGCAGCGTTAGGAGAAGAGCCAGTTTCCAGAGAAGGTAACCCAGGAAGCCAAGGGCTGGAGGACCAGGGTAGGGTTGGGGAGGGAGAGGGAGAAAGCCAGGGCCCTCCCTTCCTGACTCAAAGTGGATCCTTTTCCGACCCCTGCAGCAGGGTCATTCATTTAGTTCAAGGGGTTTCTTGGTGAGCAGCACCCTTGGGTGATGCAGACATTGTGTGGCATTGTGTTTTATCTCTAGGTGGCACTGAATTGCTCATCACATCCCAACAATAACAGCGTTCTACCTCCATGATGGATGTGGATTTGACCTTGACAACTGGACCAGAAGGGTGTGGCCAGTGCCAATTGGAGCCATAAAGGGCGTCCACAGAGCCTTGTGAGGAGCCCACACAGCCTCGTCCCTTTGCTAGGGTGACCTGCCTTGTCTGAGAGCTCAGAGCCTGGAGATGAAGACCCTGCTCCTGACTGTCATACCGTTTGCTCTGGTGGCTGTCCTACAGGCTCAGGACGTCCTGCCCTTTCTCTCAGAGAACAAGAATGTGAGGCAGGGGGAGATGGCGGTGGGCGTAGATGAAAGGCCTGGCTGTTGGTTAGTGCCCGAGGATCTGGTTTCAGATTTAGGAGGACTTTAAGTCATTTAATTTTGGGTTCCGACACTGCACCTTGGCCTATAGTGGTCAGATCAGAGCCTCTGCTGTTCTTCCAGTGAACAGAGGTTCCTGGGCCACAGGGCTGACAGGGAGCATGTTTATGTCAGGGTCCTTGTAGTGACACCCAGAACCAGGTCTGTCAGGGAGGACAGTCCCAAGAGAAAAGTTGCCTGGTACTGTGTCCTAGACCCCAACACTTTTGGGGGCTTTGAGGACAGACACCTGCCTAAATAGAACTTAGGTTTCTAGGTCCACTTTCTTAACACAGGGTGGGGAGTTGGGCCAACTCACCTCATTGGATGCAGCCTGGTTTATGCAATGTGTATTCAGGCTGTGGGTCCATGTGCTGGAGCCTGGGGGAGATCTGAGCCTGGGTCAGGGTGGGCTCAGGGCTCTGTCTGATGCAGCTGTCAGGGACCCTGGTACATGAAGGCCTTTGTGAGTGACAAGAAATGGACAGAGGGGAAGAGCCCTGGGAAAGTGTTCCCGCTGACAGTGACAGCCCTGGAAGACAGAGACTTGAAGGTCAAGTGCGTTTTTATGTGAGTATACGAACCCTTGGCCCCTGCAGCTTCCTCTCCTCCTTCATCCGTGTTTTGGGTGTTGACGATGGAAAGGCCCCTTCCTTTGAGGGGACACAGCATCTTAAAGCCTGGGAGGAATTGGTGTGTGATTTCAGGGGTCACCGAGACAGGGCTGATGAACCAGGGCTGCTGAGCCTGTGAGCCTAGCAGAGCCTGGGTTGTGATGGAGGCTGCCAGTGGGTTTTCTGTTTTCCAGGTCTGAGGGTAAATGCATTGAGTTAACATTACTGATGCGGAAAACAGAGGAGCCTGGCCAGTACAGCACTGGTGAGTCCCGTCTCTGTTTGTTTTATCCGTTGCTGTGATAATATACTCTAACCAGAGCAACTGAAGGGAGTGAGCAAGGGTTTATTTAGCTCAGCATTCAAGGAACAGCCCAGCATGGCAGGGAGTTCCGGGTACCTGGAGACAGCTGATACGTCACATCCAAGGTCAGGAGGAAGGAGCCACGAGTGTGCTTCTGTTGGTGCTCAGCATGCTGTCTCCGTTTCCACAGTCCAGGATCTGCTGCCCAGGGTGTGGTCCACCCACAGTTAGATGGGTCTTCTCACACTGACATAACCCACCCTCCACCCCCATCTCCTCCCAGGAATGGCCAGAGGCCCATCTCCCAGGTCTCTGGATTCTGTTGAGTTAACATTAACCATCACCATCCTCTTGGCTGCATAGGATCCTCTCTTTAGGGGGCGAGCTCCTGGGGTTGGAGAGTCCCTGCCCTGCATAGCTTTCAGTTGGGTCTACCTACTTACCTCCTGGATGACATTAGAGGTCACAGGCTAGTCCACAGAAGAGACCAGCTGCCCTCTAGGTAGTGCTAACCACTGGCCTAGAGGAAAGCTGGGACTAAGGATCTGGGAAGCAGGTGAGGGCAGCTGTCAAGGCCCAGCCTCCTATGGTGCAGACTCTATAGCTGGTATTGACACCTTTCCAGGAGGGAGCTTTTGATTGGATGGAGTCACAGCAAGATCTGTTTCAGCTGCCTGGGAGCCCATGTTTTACTGCTGAAACTTTCTAGACTGGGCCTTGATGTGGTATGAGTGTTTGTCTGGGAACAATAAATCATAGAACTATTTTCTGTGTTCTTCAACAGCTTGGGGCATAAAGCTCACATACATTTATGAATTGCCAGTGAAGGACCACTACATCCTCCGCAGTGAATACAAGTTGCATGAGGTTAAATTCTACATGGGAAAACTCATAGGTGAGGGCACCCTGGGACCCCAATTCCTGCCTTGGGCTCTGCTGTCAGAAGCTAGGGTAATGGGTATCAGTTACACCATGGCCCTGGGGACTAGAAAGTCCTCTTGGCTGATCTCTGGGTTGCTGGCCATAAAATGCTGCGTGGACAAGTGTGAAAGTTCTGAAATGGAAAGGGGTTTGCTGGGCAGAGATTGTCAGGGACAAGGGTAGGTGTGACCCTTAGAGCCTTGACCACTCAGGATGGAGGTTCCAGCTAAAACATGGCCAAGTGCTACTTCCTGATGTCTCAGGTTCATGACAGATAGATTTGAAGGCTTGTTTCCTAACAGGGGCCTCTGTTGGTCAAGGTCCCTCCATGGTCTGCCTGTTAACCACAGATTTTAGGAGCTGTTTTAGCACAGCAGCTTTTCCCTTATCTTAGGAGGACAAAAGAGTAAACACTTCCTGACCCAGATCCTGGCTGGCAGAGGAACGGAGCCAGGTTTACAAGGCCTGCTTTTCCTGCTTCCCCCTGCTTGATTTTTCCCCAAAACTACCCCACACACCCTGAAGCCCCCGTATATAAGCCCCAGCTCACAACCCGTGGGCTATTTCCCTTCCCCGAGGGGAACGTGTCCCGTGTGAAATAAAGTACTATCCCGCCGAGAGTTTTATCTGTGTTTCAGTGCCTCATCCTCCATTCGCTCGTTCTCCGCCAACTTTTTACCTATCACTTAGGAATGTGCAGACGTTCTCTGAGCAAGTTAAGCCATGTGCTGACCAAAGAGCTTAAAACTGCTGTGTTGACTTAAAACCTGACTAGCAAACTGTGGAACATAAAACAAAAACCTCCCTCGGGTTGTTCTACAGCTGATGACCACTGTGTGAAAAGTAAATAATGTGAGGTTTAACTTCGATTTCTCTGCCTGGCACAGGCTTCTCCCTTTTCCTCTCCACGGTGGGTCCCTCAGGAAACCTAGATTAGGTTTAGGGATTAGGTTTAGGGAAAGGGAGAACAGGCAGAGGGCCTTAGAGGCTCCTGACCATAGGAGCCTTTGTTGGTCAAGGTCCCTCCATGGTCAGGAGACAGACTAGAGTCCTTGGGACACAGGGTCTTCCTAGGTCACTGTGTGACTCTGTAGGGCTGCTCAGAAGGTAGGTACCCTATCCCCTTGCTTACACAGTGGCTCCAAGTGTCAACAGCACCCACTTCCTGCGGACCAGGTAGCTAGCTAGTGCTCACCTTCTCCATCCACATTCAACCTCCTTACCTACCCTATGGGCTCTCCTCCTGTCCTGCCCCACCTGCTCCAGGGTGGGGCCGTCGTGCTGGGCAGTGCTCCCGTCTTGTGTCGCTGGCTCCCTGTGCAGCGGTGCAGTCATGTCCCCTCTCATTTCACAGGGAAGGACCCCAGTGTAAACCTAGAGGCCCTGGAAGAATTTAAGAACTTCTCACAGCACAAAGGACTTCTGCAAGAAAGCATTGTGGTACCCGAGCAGCAGGGTGAGAGGATGACCAGCCCCTCCCCCTTGTCCTCTCCATACTGCCCAGGACTCTCTGTGACCCTTGTGTCTCTCTGTGCCTTTTGTGTCTCTTTCTGTCATGTATGCCCTCCCCTCACGAGGACCACGGGTCTTGGCTATGGGACCATCTAAGCTGCAGGTATGATGGGGTCTGGGTCCTCACCAGGGCACCACCTCACCTCTGCCCTTTGTTTCTACAGAAGAGTGTGTTTCTGAACACTATAGTGGTAAGTGACCACCAGAAAGAACACTGGGACAGCCCATCACCCTCATTTCTAGTGCTCAGTGATCCATCTGGTCTAGCTCGGCTCCACCCAGTCAGGAGAGACCTGCTGTCCAGGCAGAAGCGACCACTCCAGGAAGTGGCCCGAAGTGTAATTCCTAGGACATTTGGGGAGTCAGTTCTTCCTTTCCCCAGAGTCCTTCCTAACCTTGGTCTCCCCTTGTCATTACCTCCCACTCAATACACTTAGAAAAGATGCTCAGAGACCTGGCTGGTCAAGAGGACCCAGGATTGTGCTTGGGGGTCCCCAGCTCTTCAGCATTGACCTCAAAGAAAGTTGTGGGAAGAAAGTTGTGGCAGTGGGGGGTTCCTCAACTCTGTTCCTCTTCGTGTTACAGATGCCCCCCAGAACTGCATCTCCAGAGCCAGCTCTGCCCCCACCACACAGCAGTGACCTCCCCGGACCACTCTTCCCCTGCCACATTTCACGGAGACTCACGGCCCCCAACTACTCAACACTCTCCTCGGACCTCGGTTCCCACTGGATTGCCCCCCTGCTTTAGCCCTCTAACGCTGTTCCCAATCCCACCCGAATCCAAATAAAGCAGCTCAGCAGCCGTTTGGGGCTCAGCTTGTTTACGAAGGGCTTACCGTTAGCTCGCAAAGCCATCTAGTACAAGCCTGAGGAGATGCTAAGGCTAGCAGGTGCCGGACCCCAAGAAGCATGGCACGCAGCAGTCCTGTAGGGCTGTGTGATGTCCCGAGTGTTCACTTGATGACCCCCCGCCTCCAGTGGCTTCAGAAGGTGCCTGACTCTGAGGCAGGAGGATCTGGGCGGTCACCGGGGTTATCCTTCCACATCATCCATCAAGCAAGCCAGAACTGGATAAAGCCTCTCTGGGCCTGCCTGAGGTTTGTCTGTGCCCAAGGTCTGTGCTGATGCTGCTTTATAGGGACATGGTGGGCCACAGTGAGGGAGGAGAGGCCCTGTAACTTGAGTGACAGACCCAGAAACTTCCAGTCCCCATGGGACCTGGATTCCTGGAGGATGAGTGTACAGTCTCATCTTTCCCTGAGAAGCTGCTGATTGCTCAACAAATGAGCTTCAGGTTAGAACCCGACAGCCTGACTCCACCTTCACCTGTCGTCCTCTTCTGCTTGGATCTCGTTCTTGTTCAGGACCATAAGTCATCCTAAAAAGAAACCCACCCTTCAAGCCCCTGGCGGAAATCAAGGCCACTGGGATGTTGGAGGGAAAAGCTGGTGGGGCAGAGTATGTGTCCCCACTCTCCAGGACCAAAGACAATTTCAGAAGGGTCAAAGGCCAATTGGAAAATCCATGGAGATCAGTGGATCTCTCAACTCTCACTGCAGAAACTTCCTCATGCAGCAGATGGTGATTAACACAGACCACGACTGGCCAGTGTGTAGCCACTAAGAGACTGCAGAGCGCTTATCCTTGATTAGGATTCTCACATCAGATTTATGCCTCCCAAGGCTCAGGGATCATTGCGAAAGAGGTGGAGGAAAGATTCAAAGAGCCAGGGGTGGTGGATGACCACAAAGAAACAGAGTTTTCTGGATAGACAGCTGGGCAGTTACTCACATGATCTCAGAGCAGTGGTGACAGGATACATAAATGTAAGCTTAAGCCAGACAGAATCCAAGCATAGGAGTGGGTAGGTGGATAGAGAACCCAACCCTAACTGAGGAAGTATTGGTAGCTGCCGAGTGGGGGAATGTCAGTCTTCTTTTTGGGTATGAGTCTGGGTAGATTAACCAGGCTCTAGTGGATGGATCTACACCAAAGGACACTTGGGAACACCAGTTTGACTTGATAGGTTTTAAATATATATAAGGGAGGGAGTGGAGAGAAGGCTCAGCAGTTAAGAGCACTGGCTGCTCTTGCAGAAGACCCAGGTTCGAATCCCAGCACCTACATGGCAGCTGACAACCATCTGTAACTCCAGTTCCAGGGGATCTGACACCCTCTTCTGACCTCTGCGGGCATTGCAGGACACAGGTGCAGTGAGGCACATGCAGGCAATACACACATACACATAAAATAAAAATAATACATGAAATACTAAAAAATATATAATGCAGTGTATGAAATCAGGTGCAGGTACTAAAGAGAGTGTGGATAGGGGAGGGGGTCTAAATATGATCAAAACACAGTGTACGAGATTCTCAAAAATCAACAAAAAGTTATAAGAAGTAGAAATAGTTCACCAATCTCAGGGTAGAAAAAGACTTACAAAGCATTGAAGTAATGTTACAAAAATCAGTTACGAAGAGATTAATTTACCAGACGCCTCGTACATATGTGTCAAAATCATTACTTTAAAATTTAGTGGCTGTAAGGTGCAGTTGATTTTTGTTTCCATGAATTTTAATGCACGAGTTAATCTGTGTTTCCATCACAGTCAACACACAGGACAGTTTTGGCCCCCAGAGCTTTCTGTGTGGTGTCCTTTATGGACACGTCCTTCATGCATCTTAAACTACTGAGGTGTGCCCCCCTTTACTGTCTCCTTAGCCTGTGCCACTGTTGCACAAGAATGTCTGTTCGACCCAGATAGGGCGTTGATACTCGCCCCAAGAAATAATTGCACCCAGTCTAGCTGGGTACATCCGTGAGTTTCTTGCGAGCTTTTGTGAGGTTACTTTCAGAAGCATGTGTCTCAGGCACACGGATCACCAAAAATCCCGTGGGTGATGCCTCATGACGGCTGCACTCAGGAGTCTCCTCCACCGCAGCAGCCACTGTCGCTGCTCATATGACCTTGGAGAGCGTCCCGAGTCCTGCAAGTTTCCTGTGAAGTTTTCATCTGGAGGAAATAGTACACAGCAGTCCACCCACCTCAGGTTCATACGTTCTTCCCGTCCCCTTGTCCCAGTTAGCTTTACTGAGCAAACTGATGCGGCCCAGTCTCCCAAGAAGGGATCGCATCTGAGGAGTTTCTCAGATCAGATTGGTCTGTGAGCATGTCTGTGGGCAAAGTGTCTTATTCGGATTCCAGAAAGTAACTGGTGCCGAGGAACTGAAGTCCGGACTGGGAGGACCCAAAAGACCAGGAGACTCCAGGCTGATACTTATGAGAGATAACTGATCACCACTGGCATTGTGGAGGCCCTAAGTAACCTGGTGAGTGGAAGTTAGGGATGGTAGCAAAGGGTGGATCTGTCTGCTGGAGCGTGTTCCAGACGAGCTGTCAGGCAAAGCGGGAAAGGCAGCGACATTACGTAAAAACACCCGTCAGGCGGGGAGCCTACCCCCCCTCATTCAGCATATTTTGCTGGGCCAGTCATTGTTGTGGTCCATAAGCTTTTCAGCTGGGTGGGACTATTGATTGGTTCTCTCCTTGGTAGTTTACATGAGGCCTTTTGATACTGTAGGAGCTCGTTTCCAGGGAGAAGGCTCCCAGGTCACTACCAGCACAATTTCTCCAATCCTGTGTCTGAAACATCTGGTGTCTTTCGCACTACGGTCCTATCTTCCCGTTCTGGGAGGCAACCAAGGGCTGTGGCAATAGCCTATGTTGTTTGGGGATTCTATTGGACGACGCTGATGAACAACTCGAAGGGAGGCTTCCCTTGCCTGGCCCTGTGAGGAGGTGGATGCTGTTTTGAGGTGGAAATTCTGATTGGGAAGGGGAGGTAGGGGATTCTGTTTCTTGTGGGAATGTGTCCTGAGCCTGGGGAGGTGGGAACACAGAGTTCTTGTTACCCTCCTGGCTCCAAAGTCTTAAGCAACACTTCCTACTCTGAGAACACTCTCCCTCTGACAAGGCTTCCTTGGAGTGAAAGCCACGTGGTAATTTCTGAACTTAGCATATTCCTGTGACCCAAGCAAAACAGTGCAGTCACCTACAGCATGAACGGGGACCTGTGTGCAGGTGAGATGGGGTGTCACCCAGGGCAGGAGAAACATGAGGCAGGGAGGCCAGGAGCACAGGGCACCTAGGGGACCAGGTAGCTGCTCCTGCCGACCACAAACCTCTGTCTTCTCTCTGTGGTGTGCGCCGATGAACGGTCTTTACTGATTCCTACCACGGCTAACAGTACTGAGGTATCTGCTGCCCTAGCTGAGGAGGCGAGAGTCCTGGGCCGGCAGAGGGTGGGAACTGGGTCTCTGGGGTCATAACCTTGGACTGAGTGAGCGCCTCAGGTCTGTTGATGGGTGGGGTCAGTGGGGTGCCCTGTTTATGGCCTAGGGTCTGCCCGCCAGCATGGCCTTTTCAGTTCTCTGGAGGGTGCGGGCACACACAGGCTGAGGGATGGGTTACGGAGGCATCTGTCTCACTGCCCTGCCACATGGAGACCTGCTGTCTCCCTCTGCCAGCCTGGGGGCTTCTTTTCGTTCCACAGAAATAATCCTTCTCTGAATTTCTGTTTCCCCATGAAAGCCACACGCTTGAGGGTCTGCACACAGGCAGTGCTGCTGTTTGCAGAAGGCTGAGCTCTGCTGTGAGGGGAAATCTGAGAGGGGCGGACTTCCCAAATTTTGTTTTAAATTTTATGCTGTGTATTATGAGAGGATATGAGTGTGGAGATGATCAGCCGTAAGCACAGGTCCTGTCACTGATGGATAAAGGTGTCTGGTTGTGGCCTCCCTGATTTCTGATGGCCTTGTCCTGGAAGCTATGCTGACCTAGTGCCAAATAGGTCCCAGGGCTGAGGCAGGTGTCCAAGCACCCTGGTTCTCTCTAGTGACAAGTCTGTCTCATTGGACTGTCCCTCCTGGCTCCACAGTCTCTCCACAGTGACCCCAAGGCCTCACCTCCCCTCTCAGGGAGCTGGCCAGCTGCTGATCATTCCCTTTATAACCCAGACCTGGGGATCCATTCTGTGTTCCTCCCACACTGACCCCTGCTCTGCATCCTCACTGTCCTCTCCCAAAGGGACACGGCAGCCATCCCAGGTCTCACCATGGCCCCGAGGCTCAGGGCACAGGAGACAAGCAGGTAAAGGCTGTGTGGATCTCAGGACCCAGGACAGAGGGGAAGCAGGTGCTGAGGTGGTGGGAGGCTCCTGTGTTCTAGGTCCGTGTGACTGCTGGGTCACTGTAGGACAGAGACAGAACATTGATGAGTCCAATCTGTAGCTAACCCTTCCTGACTGTGGAAGGAAGCAGGGCATGGACCCTGGTCACACTCTGGCAGGGTGAATGTACTCATCAATGAGCCCATCCGTGGGCGCATGGTGGTGCTGTCCACCCGTGACTGGTCATCTCTGAGCTTTGTGCTCTCTGACCCCAGCCTGCTCCCCCGGGTGACTTTTCTCTGCTCCCCAGGCTATCTCCATCCTCACAGGGAGCTCTGGACACTGTGGTGTCCATGGAGAGCACATGGGTCCAAAGTCTCCAGTGCCAGGTGGACAGCTGACCTCCACCAGCCTCCACCACCTCCCCTGAAAGCCTGTCTCCATCCTGGGCCTGTGGCTCTGAGCTCAGTTCTAACTTCTGCTGTGTCCTCCAGCAACTCTGCCCCCACCATCCTTCACAGCAGGGCTGCGCTGCGCTGTCTCCCTCCAGCCCTCCCGCCACCCCCCTGTCCCCTATCCTCGGTCCCTTGGAGACTGGGCACCCATGA